ACATGCCTGTACTTTGTTTGGCTGGAAACCACAGTTGTGGGTTCAATTCCAGACCTGAAGGGCAACTAGGGGCCATAGTCTCAGTGGTTACACAGGCTCCATTGGACCAGCAAATCTGGTCCCCGAGAGGCCAATTCTTAAAAATTAAAACTAAAACTAATTTCAGTGCTAACAACGTATAACAATGTATATACAATTTTTGAAAATAACATTTTTTTTTTACGGTTGGCTAATTCTAGGGAAAATGATAATTATGAAAAACGGTAAGAAAGTTAAGGATTGATGCTCTTACATGTAAATGTACATGTACCTATGTCTATTATAACTTCAGAAGGTCTGAATGCAGGCAAATTAAGACTGCTTTCCTGGTGTGGTAGGGATAGAAGAGCAAGCCTGGGCTAGGTAACCCCAGATCCAAGGGTGCTAACTGGGCTATAGTGCTGCTCCTCAAGCAAGGGAACTTGGCATGATCTCTCTGGTGTCAGTTTGGAAGGAAATTGACTAGGCAGGTGGGGCCATTGTATGAGTGTTTAAACAATGGAGACACCATTACTTAGATAAGTAGTGTGATATCATGGGTCTAGGAGTGTCCACTAAATAAGCAGCATCATGATAAATGTAGAAAAGATTGAAGTTGTCCAAAACTTTGTAGTACTTGGTTCTACAATCAATACCAATGGAAGCAGCAGTCAAGACATCAGATGACATATTGTATTGGGCAAATATGCTGCAAAAGACCTCTTTTAAGTGCTGAAAAGGAAAGATGTCTCCTTGAAGACTAAGGTGTGCTTAACCCAAGCCATGGTATTATCAATCACCTCATATGCATGTAAGAACTGGACAATGAATAAGGAAGACCCAAGAAGAGTTGCTATCTTTGAGTTGTGGTGTTGGTAAAGAATACTGAAGGTACCATGGACTGCTAAAAGAACTAACAAATCTGACCTGGAAGAAGTGCAGCCGGAATCCTCCTTGGAAGTGAGAATGGCCAGACTTCATCCGACCTACTTTGGTCATGTTGTTAGAAGGGACCAGGACTTCAAACTGGTTTTTCTCAGTTCAGTCATAGCCAACAAAGTCAAACTAGAATGGATCTGAATTTGTAAAATGTGGGTGAACTGGGGCAGTAACCAGAAGGAAAAAAAATAAAAGGTTGATGCCCTACTAGAATCTTAACCTCCCTCTTAGAAAACAAGGGCAGCATGCACATTGCATAGCAACCAAATCTCTTGATAAGTAGAGTCAGAAACAGTGTTGCCCTGCTCAAATATGGTGGCTGATTGCACTACTTTGGTCATGTTGTCAAAAGGGATCCCTAGAGAAGGATATCATGCTTGATAAAGTGGAGGGTCAACGAAAAAGGGGGAGGCCCTCAATAAGATGGATTGACATAGTGGCTCCAACAACGGGCTCAGATATAGCAAGGATCACAAGGTTGGCACAGGACTGGGCAGTGTTTCGTTCTGTTGTACAGAAGGTTGCTATGAGTTGGAGATGACTTGACTGCACCTAACAACAACAACAACAGGAGTGTCTACAAAGTCCCTGGGTGGCACAAATGGTTAATGCACATGGCTGCTAAGTGGAAAGGTGGTAGTTTGAATTTACATCCACTCAGAGGCACCTCAGAAAAAATGACTGATGATTTACTTCCAAAACATCAGCCGCTGAAAATGTTATCTACTCTGACACATGCGAGGTCTCTGTGCGTAGAATCAGCTCAACAGCAACTGGTTTGTATTTATCTATTTATTTTTTAGGAAGGTCTACTCGGAAGGAAGGTTGAGCAATCTACTTCCGTAGAGATACTGCCTTGGAAGTCCAAGGGGGGGTCTCTATGAGTCAGATCTGACTCGACAGCATTGAGTTTGGTTTTTTGTTTTTACCGTGCTTGAAACAAGATCCTTGTTAACAGAATTTCTACTTAGGTCAGGGTTCTCCTTCAAAGGAACCGAACTATTCCCTAGGGACCTGGCATTTAGTCTTGCCATTCAAATTGGATAAACAGGTGATATTTGAAACTCAAGACACAGATGTACAGATTAGCAAAGGAGGTTTTTTCAGCATCCACTCAATGGTAGTAATGGTGCTTCTAATATATTTCTGTGCCTGGGAAAAGGCAGGAAGGAGAGACAGGTGCAAAATGATATCATTTCCTCCTTTTAGTTCTACCAAATCAGAATTCTAGTGCTAATTAAGGATCAGTTAGCATTTTGAAAAAAAAAAAAAAAAAATCTGAGACCCTGGAAAAGGCAGGAAGGAGAGACAGGTGCAAAATGATATCATTTCCTCCTTTTAGTTCTACCAAATCAGAATTCTAGTGCTAATTAAGGATCAGTTAGCATTTTGAAAAAAAAAAAAAAAAAAATCTGAGACCTGGAAAACTCCAAGGTCATAAAGTGTATTGGTGGAAGAGCCAGACTAGAGCTAGAACTAGATCCTCGGCAGCTGCTTCCAATATTATGCCCCTTCCTGTATGCTACACAACAAAAGACATGGTATTGTGAATAAGAACTTGCTTGAAAAATACAGTACAAATTATTTCCATTGCAACCATTTAGAAACAAGCATTACAACCAGAAGAATTCTGAGTTTTCAGAATCACTTTCTAAGATACTGAGAGTCAACCTGAATAAGAGATATCCCTTTGATTAATTTATTCAACAGTAGACTCTCCAATTTTGATTAAAGAGGTTTTAATTACAAAGTGCCATTTTGAAGCTTTCTTTTAGCTTTCTTGGGATAAGGCCGAAAGTGCCAATTTTTAGTTAAAATCTAAAGCAAATCTGAAGAAAGAAAGTACTAATTTCTCTACAAATAACCTAATTAAATTTTAATTGGAGCTACGATATGGGGATAAAAACAGAACTATGATCTGCTGTTTCCACGCCGTTTTCTCTTTTGCGTAACAACATGTACCACCCTTTACTCTAAATTTGTCTTTTTTTCTGCTTGTGTAAGCTCTGAACAATCAAGGACTAGATCAGACTTGTTTATCACCATCTTACAAAGCCTAGAATGCTCCTGCACATAGTGGATGCTCAATAAATCTTTGAAGAATGCATATGTTATTTTTATTTCTGTCTCTTTAGCATGCAAGAATGCACTATACTAATAGAGTTACAATGTAGACCAAAAGTAGAATGTGGGTATACTTTAAGTTACTCAATCAATATTGTTAAATAAATGAGTGGTTCATTTCCTGTGTGACTGTGCTAAGCAAAAGTTAGAATCTTAGACTCTTCGGGTAGCAGGAATCACAGAAGCCACCTAGTTCAACTATCCATCTGTGTTTACATTCTTTCCACAAGTGTTTCTTTAGAGAATCATCTATCATACCATATTGATCAGAGTCAGTAGGTCTAGGACAGAGCCCAAGATTCTCTATTCGTTCCACTGATAAGAAAAATATCAAGTGATTCTTATATATGACAAAGTTTATGATCTTTTTTTCAGTATTACTGTCAAGATGTTGTCTAGTCTAGGTCTGAATTCTTCTAGTAACAGGTAACCATTGTCTGAGATTATACTTATATAGTAATCAGTTTAGAAGTTCTTCCTTACACAGGCACACATTTTACTGCATTTTGCTTTATTGCACTTTGCAGATACTGCATTTTTTACAAATTGAAGGTATGTGGTAACCCGGTGTATTGTTGAAAAAGTCTATCAGGGCCATTTTACCAACAGCATTAAGCTTGTTTTGTGTCACATTTTGGCAGTTCTTACAATATTTCAAACTTTTTCATAATGCTATTGCATACTCAACAAACTATACTATAGTGTAAAGATAACTTTTATATGCATTTGGAAACTAAGACATTTATGTGACTCACTTTATTGTGTTATTTGCTTTATTTCAGTGGTCTGGAAATGAACCCACAATATCTTTGAGGTCTATCTGTATTGAATTGAAAGACTTTTTCTTGTTCAAGCCACTGGCCCTATTTTTATCCCTTGCAAAACAAATGCATTTACAAAATGATAGACTTTAAAGTACCTGAATTATCAATGTGGTGAATACAGTTATCAATGTACCTCCTGACTCTTCCCTGAATCTTCTTTTTTCAATGTTCAGTATGAGAGACTGAATAAACAAATGAACAATGGCTAGACCATATATGACAACAGAACTATGACCCACAACCTCTGAGCAACCAGCCTGGGAAGCCAAATCATAACCTCTTCAAACCTCTGAGCAACCAGCCTGGGAAGCCAAATCATAACAGTTCAAACTTGGTCAATGACTGCCACTTCCCTTTTCTTCCCCCAACTTCCAACTCAGGCCCAACCAGAAAAACCCAAATATGCTCCCCAAACTACATAACATGCTCTGCTTCTAGTTAGCCAGTCTCCAGGTTCCCCATGCCAATAACCTCTAAAGTATACCTGAAGTGTTCTTTTTTGTTTACTCTAAAGCTTTTCCACTCCCCTGCCTTTCTTTGAGTTTGCCAAG